GGCCGGATTCTGGGAATTTGATGATCGCCGGTGAGTTGTGGTGGCCGGAGTACATGCACGGCGGCCAGAGTGGCTTTTCTGGTGAAGCGTGTGGGAAGGACGCGTGGGGGAGGGACGGTGGAGGAGCTCTGCATGTGGGACACGCGTCCCACGCGTGGCTGAGAGAGAGAGAGGGTGAAGTGTACGTGGCGCAGAATGGCAGTGAAAAGTGGGGCCTTCTCCATTGGACACGTGTGAGCTTGAGGTATTTAAGCTGATGAATTCGCTGGCGCTTTCCAGAACCTTCTGGAGAAGACTGGAATATGCTGGACGTTCTTGGATTATTGTTGGACGTTGGACCCATTGCTGACTCTTTTTTGGACCAAAAACTCTACCTGGGCCTGCAAAAATGAATAAAGCCCAAAACGAAAAATGAATAAAACTCACAAAAACTGAAAAACAATTATCTAAAAAATGCTAATTAACTAACAAATAAACCCCTAATTAATAAAATCCTAATAAAAAATCTCTAATAAATTCTAAAAGACTATTATTTATTTAAATCTATGGAAAATCTATTAAATCCTAATATTCAAAAAAATCTATTAATTTTCTAAAAGAAAAATCTTATTTATCCTATTAAGAAAATGATAAAAGAAATCTATATTCTTTTATTTATTTATCCTATTAAAAAAATGAAGCCTATTTATTTTTAATAAAGCTATTTAATTTTTGACCAAATCTCAAAGAATTAAAAATATCTAAAAAGAATTAAAACTATTTAAAATTCTATTAAATCCTAAAAAATGATTTAAAAACTATTTAAAACCCTAAAAAATCCTATAAAATCCAGAAAAATCAAGATAATTCCCAGAGGGACAAAATGAGCACTGAACGACACAAAAATAATCGGTAAAAATAAACGGGCACCGAAATATCCCAAAAATCGATTCTACTGATTAAAAACACCTGAAACACGAGACGGGAGCTGTGATCCCTGATAAAATCAATACAAATGAACAATGCAATGTATGCGATATGCAGATGCGAATGCGGTTATGCGTCGAAACATCGAGCCAAATGCGAGACCCGGTTGGTCAAATTTTGGGGTGCAACACAAAGGAAAGGAATGTGCTAGATATTTCATTCAGCTTTATCTATAGATTAAAGGTTGTGAGCCCAATGATACTCAATACTACGTAAAGGCCCTTTCACCATGGTTAGAAAAGGGATACCGTCAAGGATGACCAAATGTGGTAAGATAGGGTGTGGTAGTAACTATGTTGCTTTCCACTGCGGATGTGTGACCGTAATGATAAATTAGGTAGCGTGTTACCTATCATAACAGTTATATTAATCAACTGTTGTGAAATATATAAAGGTCATGAGTTTAATTCCCAACCATAATATGGTATATAATAATTGACGCTCTACCTATAACCACTATCATTTTAATCAACCATGGTGAAATATTTTTTTTAAACAGTTTATTATTATTCCATACATGACTTTTTTTTTGTACCTGTATTTTATACGATAGTTTTTACCACAAGGAAACTAGCAAATACACATATCTATGTAACAAAATATATGGTTATACTACCAAAATGTTAAACAAACCTAAATATTATTTACACTAAACCCAAAATTTTTGCAAACATATATTACATACTCAATAAGATCACCCTGTCCTATAAAGTGCATTGAAGCAAAACGCCCAACGTGTATGAATGTCTTTAAAGTTTTATTGTGAGAATGATGTAGTGTCGTTAAACACACACACACACACACACACACACACACACACACACACACACACACACACACACACACACACATATAATTGAACTAATTTGAATATCACATGATTTGAATTGATATCAAACTTAAACATTAATATGTTATTGTAAATATATATACTCGATCCAAGAATCAACAATATCGGTGGAGACAATGTTTATCATCTTTTTCATGATAAAAAAACAACAACACTCGTATCCTTCTTTCTGTTACCTTGTATATAAATTTAAATATTACATGAATATATAACCACACAAGTAAATTTAGATAAATGAATGTCACAATTAATCCACTTACGAAAGGTGTATAAAGTGCGAGCCTTTTATTGCTAACTCTATTCAACAAATGGTGTTGCTCTACAACTCTGTATATTGAAAAGGACTTAAACATATTACACACTAAGATAATTACAAATTTAAATAAATATTACTAAAAAAGTCTCATAAAATAAAAACTTATGTAAAAAGTATATGTTTCATCTTTGGTTCAAGTGGTTTGCCTAAGGAACAAAGCGTAATTACCATATCCGTCCGAAAAGAGATGACGATCAATTGCCAATGACCACTGAATGAACATTAGCATAAATAGTATTTGGTAAAATATGGAAACTAAATATAATAGAGAAAACATAATTGATAATTTAATCATGAATCAATAATGTATTTTCCAACTTCTTATTGTACATCTCCTTTACACCTTCCAACTATTTCTATTGCGATTCATGTTCACTTGCTAACTTCTTATCAATCATCTTGTCCATCTCTTTATTTTGAAATTATTTACTCATTTTTGATGTACCAAAGAATAATCTCAAGCTGATTCTTTCTCTAACACCAAATACACGTCCACCACGCTCCTTTGTTCCAATTACTTCTACTAATATATTATGCTGTGGTTGTGGAACAAAGGAACTTTGATTGGCCATATAAATCAATGAATCCTTCTCAACATGAAAAATTTATTTAAATTACACATAATAAATCAAATGCGTAACAAATCCTACATTTAATATTCTAATTGATATAACAAATTAGGCAAAAATATATCCTGGGTCCTTTAAGTTATTTTATTATAACAAGTCAGTCCTTTATGTTTTTCTTGCTACAATTTGGTCGTTTATGTTAACTAACGTGTTCGGCGTTGACCTTTTTCACAAACTCTATTCCGAAAACGCTTATGTGGCACAAACGGCGCCGATGTGTCATTTAAAGACGCTGATGTGTCATTTAACCTTGCTGAATAGGCATTTTTCTTATTCTTTCTTATATTTCTAGAGATCAAAGAGATGATAACTCTAAATCTACAAATCATATACATTGGAATCCTAAATCTCATCACTTCATCAATGGCCTCATACGGGAGCAACATACAAATTTGAAGATGTCAGAACTCCAATACCTTCCTTTCGAGTGCATCCCAAACTGGAATCAAACCGACATGTCAGTGTGGAGCCAAAGCAGTGTTTAGAATATTTAATAAGAAAGGAAGAAACTTGGGGAAGCTATGTTGGGGACACAGATACTATGTGGTACTTTTGTTGTTCGTATTTTTGGTATTGGTTTATGCCGATATATTATTCTGTGTCTGAGATGGTTTGGCATATTTGATGTTTTGGTTTATGTTATTGTTAATAGAGTGAAGTTGGTAATGTGGGTTTCAATTTTTTAAGTGGTATGAAAACCATTACAATGATGAAGTCAAACCAGATATACAACCCTCAATAATTTCAAAATTTTCCAAATATGATGAAAAGGATATTGAAATCAACATGCTTAGAAGGGACATTGATAAGGATGATAAATACACTAAGGAGATGATGAGCAACATGTTGAAGATGCTAGTTTATGTCATAATGTTGTTAGTTTTTATTTTTGTAGTGTTATATGTATTTTGGTTTAGAAGTGGTGATCATTGTTGATTTTGATACTTTCATTGTAAGTCATGACTTTTGGTACTTTCATGTAACATTTCTTGACAATCGTTAATTCAACAATTATGTCTATTTTTTGTTGCAATTCTATACAAGTTTAGTTACAATAAGGTCGTAATGTGTATAACAGACAAAAATTGAAGGACCTGATTGTTACAATTTAAAAACAAATGGGACCTGTTTATTACAATTAAAACATAACTGATATGTACAACAGAAACAAGTTTGGTACTTTGATGTAACACTTGTTAACAATAGTTAATTTCTTCAATTGTGCATATTTTGTATTCATAAATTCTATACCATTTTGTTACAGTTAGGTTATAATTTGTACACCAGACAAAACTTGAAGGACCTGGTTGTTAAGAATTAAAAACAAATGGGACTTAGTTGTTATAAATTAAAAGCAAATGAGACTAGTATGTTACAATTTAAAACATAACTGATATGTTGTGTTACATTATTTTGGACCTTAAACAATTACCAAATAACATACAAAACATTACATAATCATAACGTAAACCATTGAATTTTTATAGAATTCAAATAAGATTCCAAAATAGAATTCTTAAAACATTGTTATATTGTTAAAACCAAAGCATACATAAACATATACAAGACAATGTTATAGAATTCAAAAGAGAATTCTCAAAACATAAGATCCTAAAACAAAATTCTAAAAATACAATCTATTTTATCTTTCTCTTTATGGCCAACTTTGGTCTCATGCTTGTTGCTGGCTGAAATCTTGTTGTACCAACATGTCTTCCCCTTCTCATAGCAAGTAACTGGGCAACTGAGATGGACTGTCGTGTTTGGATTCTGGAAGTTGATGCTGACAATCTAGTTTGAACTATTTGAGTTGGTTGGGATTGAACAGTTTGGATTAAAGGGGTTGTTAGGGGTTGTCTAGTTTGAACTCTTTGGGTTGGTTATGATTGGACAGTTTGAACTTGAGGGGTTATTAGGGATTGTGTTGTTTTAACTCTTTTGGTTGGTTGGGATTGGACAGTGGTGGAAGTTTGTGATTGGTCAGTGGTGGCAGTTTTAGATTGGACATTTGTTGTAGTTTGTGATTGGACAGTGGTAGAATTTTGGGCTTGTCTTGGTTTTGTAGGACATGATGATTTATTATGGTCAGAAATACCATATACTGAACATTTATTTGGCAGCCTCTTTCTTGAAACATTTATTGTACCCTTTCTCTTTTCATCAACATCTTTGTTTCTTCTTCTTTTTGGCCTCCTTGGTGCTCTTCTGGAAAGTGGTAGAAGTACGTTAGGATATTGAGTCAGTTCCCATAAGTTTCCTCTAACATTTTTACTATTGGATTTTGCCTTGGTCCAATTATAACACTATTAAAAGTTTCAGACATATTGTTCACGAACACATCACTTTTTGTATTTTAGTTGAACACAGACTTACTTCAATATCTAGGGGGTATCTTCAACAAGTGTTTGTATGCCTACTTATTAATCTTCCTCATTTCCTTCCTTTCCCTTTCCCATGCTTGAGGATAAGTCTCCTTGGCTTCCCTCCATATTAATTCCTTCAAATGCTTTCCTGGAAACCTTTTTGTGAAGTTTCTATACAGGTGTCTAACATAAAATCTCTTGTCAACTCTAGGTAACAACTCATCTATTGCAGGTGACAACCTCTAGTCATAAAATAAACACACTGTGCTACAATTTAAAATCATGAAGGACAACTATGTTACAATCTGAAATCATGATGAATCTCTATGTTACAGATTTATCACACTGTGTAGTAATTCATGAAGGACATATATGTTACAATTTAAAATCATGAAGGACATACATGTTGCAATTTAAAATCATGAAGGACATGTTTGTTACAAATATATCACATTGTGCATCAACTCATGAAGGACAACTATGTTATAATTTAAGACCATGAAGGATATAAATGTTACAAATTAAAATCATGAAGGACATATATGTTACAAATTAAAATCATGAAGGATATGTTTGTTACCTTCTGCTGATCTGAAATGAAAGTAATATATTTGTAAACTTCTGGCCCTCCCAAGTCACGAACTAGTATATCAAAGAAACATGCCCAAGTGTCTTTAGTCTCTGCTTCAACTACAACCAAGGCAATGGGCAACATTTGATAATTAGGGTCTCTTTCTACTACTGCAAGGATCTGACCTCCATAATTGCCTTTGAGAAAACATCCATCAACTCCAATGATTGGTCTGCAAAATGAAAAACTCCTCTTGAAAGCATCAAAGCACATATACATTCAATGAAAACTTGGTAGTAATAGTATGCTAACATATTCTTTAGGCTGTTGTTCAAGTTCAGTTGGTTGTTGTTCATTTGCTTCGACATTTAACTTGATGGTGTTGTTTAGATTTGACCTTAATAACTCATGTGCATAGTCATAAAATCTATGATATTTCTTATTAAATGACCCTTCAACAATACTCAATGTTGTCTTTTGTGCCCTGTAAGCTTTCATTCTATTCATACCAACATTCCATTTCTCATGCACTTTTTCACACATAGCAGTTAGTTTCACATTAGGGTTGATTCTAACTTTTGTGTATAATTTCTTCCCGGGCCAATTAGAATTAAACATCCTAACATTGAACTCTTTATTACAAGTGTGATTGTCATTCAATGTTCTCAAATTCCATGTATTCGCATTAGGCAATTTGGAACATAAGGCCACCCATCCACACCATTCCTTGCATCCAACTCTAACCCTAGTCTTGTCATTTTTTAGATACCTTAAATCCCTACCATTATGAACAACATAACTTGCAATAGCTTCCTTGAACTCCTCATTTGTTGAGAACAAGAGTCCCAATATCCACTTATAGTAATTAAACTTCTTAGGCATGATAAATGATGGGTATTTAACATTCCCATCCTCATCTGAATGTTCACTACTCATCAAATCCATAATTTAAAACCTTATCATCTAAGTTATCAAACATGTGCCCTACCATCATCATTGTCAATTTGGTCATCAGACTGGGCACTATAAGCATCCTCAGGTTGGTCATTAGAAACAATATGAGGTTAGGCCTTACAAACATCCTCAGGTTGGTCGTTAGAAACATCCTTAGGTTGGTTATCAGGTTTGTGATTAGAAACATCCTCAGGTTATGCATCAGGTTGGTCATTAGAAACATCCTCAGGTTGGGAATTAGGTTGGTCGTTACAAACATCCTCAAGTTGGGTATCAGGTAGGGAAACTACTAAATCAGGTTGTTCAATAGGGTGGACTATGTATATGTCAACCTTTCCTTTAGTCTTGGACCAGTTCAGTGCTTCTATTGCATAAAAGTCATGTTCTTGCGCCTTCAATATTCCAGCAAAGTCATACCACATTTCAAGAACTCTGGGATACTTCATCTCTTTAACAACCACCAAAATTTCAAAGTAACTCCATCTGTCACCACCACACTTCCAGTTTGACACTTCACCTCCTACATATCAACAAAATACCCCTTGTGATGAAATTTAACATAAAATTCACCCATAACCATTTTGTTCCTGTTTACATCAACAACATACAGTCCCAACAAGCAAATAAGCAACATACCCTAAAATTAACACTACCATTACTGATATCAACAACAGACCCACAATTACATCATCCTAAAATCTAACACGCAAGATTTTTGTTTTCATAAACTAATAAAAAAAGGAGAACCACATATAATGAGTTTAGATACAATGAAACATATCTAAGATTCATGGTTTCTTCACCTTTAATGTAGCTTCACAAAAGGGAAGAAGTAGCTTAACAAAATGTAGCTTCACGAAGGGGGAGAAGTAGCTTCACGAAACTTGCTTCAACTCTGCGTACATAATCTTCTACCTTTAAATTAGGGGTGTTTAATCTAATTTGAGGATTATACAATCTTAAGCATTCTAGAATAAGAAAAATTCATATTCAGCAAGGTTAAATGGTACATCAGCGTCGTTTGTGCCACGTAAGTGTTTTTTGAACGGAGTTTGTGAAAAAGGTCAATGGTGAACATGTTAGTTAACATAAAGGACCAAATTATAGAAAAAAAACATAAAGGACTGACTTGTTACAATGAAATAACTTAAAGGATCCAGGGTATATTTTTGCTAAAAAACTATTTACAATTTTCTAAGCGATTGCTCGTGAGGCATCTGTAGTGCACTCTCCAGTTGGTTTTTGTCGAGCCCTATTCCATTTCTCATGTAGTGATGGTGGAGATGGTTTACAATCACAAATCATGGAGTCCTCAACTCCCATTTGTTGTTTTTTCATTAATCAATATTTTCTCAAGTCTTCTGTAACCCCCACAAGACAATCTATAGGGGTATTTTTTTTTTCCTTGTTTAGATTTCCTGCTTCACTTTTAAATTTTTATAAACATAAACAAAATCTTAATTTGCATGGTTGTAACTATAAAGCATAAGCATAAAATTATCAAAAAATAAGATCACTATTATTCAAGAAATCATCAGAACTACGACACTTGACAAACTTTCCCAAACTTCTTTGCAAATAAAATTATATTTCATAGTTTGATGCTCAAGATCAAACTTAGGTTTCGTAATGTAGTCATACGTGAGCTGTGAATTAAAGCCTCTCCAATACTCACCAACATAAGTAACCTAATTTTTCTTCAACTTATCATTATCCTTAAACTCAAAAGTTGACTAGTGTTACATCAATAAGTATGTATTAGTATTAGTAATTATAAAAAATACTATAAAATCATGTAAATTAAAATTAATACCTTCACGTCTGTCCATATGTTTTTTTCACATCTTCTGATACTTGGGTCCAGTCATCTATCAAAATATTCATGTTGCTACATTCAAGGAATGCAACATAACTCTTAAAAAGCGAAGAATTCAGACCATGACATGTCCAAGTTATGAAATTAAACTTAATCGACAATTTGTTACCCGAGTTATGGGCTTTTGTTAATTTAGCCATCATTGTAGTGTCTATTTTTTTTCTTTTCTTTTTTCCCTCTATAGTTTGAGATTAATTTGTACGAGTTTCATTTGTATGAGTTTTTCCGCTATATTAATAGTCTATCTATGTTAAAGATAACAACAAAAGATTAAACCAATCTTAACAAAAACATAACTAAATTTAACTCTTTCATCTAACCTTACAATACTATTTCCATATATAACCATGAATACAAACGTGTCTAATGGCGAGAAGAAAGTATGTGACATGAACGAGCGTGCTCCTAATATCGAGGGCTCACAACCTCCACGAAAGAGAAATTACACCTTGCCTATGAGGGATACAACAAACTTTAAGCGAGATGGAAAAACTGCGAAGAGCTTCGGACCCCTGAACACTCACCGTGAGAAGATATGGTGAGAGGTCATCATCCACTTGCACAACATCCCTTCACCTCCAGCTTCAAAAGAAGATGTTATGGGACCTGAACCTGACATATGATGCAAGTTCCATAAGGTCAAAGGACACTAAATAAAATATTGCTACCAACTTAAAAAGGAAATAGAATGATTGATCCATGAGGAGCACCTCAAAAAATAAGTCAAGGATAAGTCCTCCCAAAGATCGAGAGGGGCTAGTTCCCACGGGCGTGACGATCCTAAAAGCCCCAGACCCAAAAAGAGAAATGAGTTATGCAAAGAAGATGGTATCGAGACTACACGCCACACCTTTAATACTAGTGTAGAAGGATTCACTAGAGGCGAAGAGACCAGTTCTGCCCGATGAAGGTATGCTCTCTAGATATTAACTATTGAGGACTCATCAATGGATTTGGAAGTAGCACCAGAGGTCGAGACACTTTTTCAGAAAAGGTGCAGCAGACATCTATTCCATAACAATGACCCTATGGTTACCACTATGATATGTGATGAGATTAAAAGAGTGTTGGTAGATCAAGGAAGCTCTGTAGATATCCTCTACTAGGATGCATTTGAGAGATTTCACCTTAACAAAATGATTTAAAATCTTTTAAAGGGCCACTACTCGAGTTTTTTTGGGAGTAAATACAAGTAAATGGTTACATAACACTGAGGACCACCTTTGAGGATGGAGAGAAGACCAAGTAGATCAAGGAAAGGTATCTAGTTATAGATTCCCCCTCTTCCTATAATATGATCATAGGGAGACCAACCTTCAATCAGTTGGGTGCCGCCTTGTCAACCTTATATGTGTGCATGAGATACCTAATTTCTAACGAACAAGTTGGATTCATTCAAGAGACTAGAAGTCATCAGAAAATGCTACATAAGAAGTATAAAGCTGAAGAGAGTTAGGACCCTAGGCATGAACACCAGAGGTGTGGTCTCGAGAATCAAGTCACCAAAAGCGACTCTGAAAGATAAAAAGGCTCTTTTTCAACATATTCAAGACTTTTGGCCTTGTGTTTGAATTTTTCTTTGGCCTTCCACTTTTTGTACCCATGCCTAGTGTAACACCCCAAATTTTAATTGGAATATTTTAATTGATTTAATTGAGAATATTCAATTTCGGTGTTTTTCGGTGGCTTTGTGAATTATTGAGGAATTATGATTTTTGGAGTATGTATTTTGGAATAATAGTGTGTAATATGGATTTATTAATATTATTATGAATTAAAATAAACATAAGAGGAATAAGGGCAATTTGGGCATTTGGAGGAGTTAGTAAGGGTAATGAGGGGAAAACCCAATTTGTGAGGCCCAAGACTAGGTTTGACAAAATAGAGTTATGAAAGGAAATTAGAATTCATTTGTGTTGACCGTGAAAGTTTGGTGGCCAGAGCTCTGAAGGAAAGGTTGGAGGCAGAAGATCCCCGGAGTTAATCGTGAAAGCTTTGAATCGGCTAAGGTATGGGGAGTATAGCTTTTCATGATTTTCCATGTATGCCTTTCGATGTGTTTATGGTGATGTTAAGATTTAAGGTATTTTGTGTTGATTGTGGGAAAATTAGGAAAATTGATGATAAGACTCTGAGGTTATGGCTAGTGGTATGTATCACTGAGTATTGATATGAGAATTAGGAAACCTTAGGCCTTCGTGGCCAAAGTCTTGCAATGTTATAAGTCTGACCCTGAAGGGATTTGATATGGGAAATTATGATGCCTTAGGAAATTGTAGGGAAATAGTGTTTTAGGATGTAAATATGTCCTGGAATTGGCCTAATAAACCGTGGGTTTTGTGTCGTTATCTCCGTATGACCTTAGGGATGATTTAGGGATGTTTTGGGGGCATTAGGTAAGTGAATCGTATGAGTATTTGAGTGAAAATCAGTTATGGTGCGTAGCAGATTTTGCTGTCATCGCACTGTTCACCTAGCGAACCATGTTTTTCCAGACTCGCCTAGCGAAGAAACTTGCCCTGACTCGCCTAGTGAGCATGCCAGCGAACGTAGCAGAGTTTCGCGAATGTTGATCGTATGCAGCGATGCTTTGATGTTTGATTCTGAGATTTCTGAGATGAGTTAATATGAGTATGAAAATGAGAAATTATGTGATTGATAGGCGATAGTGTGAGGATCACTGCGAGTATAATTTGATGAATTAATATGTGATAATATGGGATAATATTATGAGATAATATGGGATAATATTATGAATTAATATGAGATAATATGAGGTAGTATTATGAATTAACATGTGATAATATGTGATAATATGATAGGCTAATATGAGGATGACTATAAGCTAATATGTGATTTGTACGTGATTATATGATGATTTCTATGATGTGTGATGATGATTATTATGATGAATTATATGATGACATGATGTGTGAGATTAATTATTATGATGAATTATATGACGAAATGATGTGTGATGATGAGTATTATGATGTGATGTGATGACATGATGAATGATGATGATTATTATAATGAGCTGTGATGACATGAT